AGGAGGAGATTGTCCCTCCTTCCCCGGCAGAGCATCTGGTGGATTCGAACCGTGCGCCTCTGGGATTGTAGTTGCAGCTCCTTGCCACTAGGCTACCAGAGCTCCCCAACTATGAACAAAACTTTTATAGCAGTCCTTCCCCTTCTTAATAATACCAAAATCAAAACCAAAACAATAGTTGTTTAGTCAATTCTGACTTGCAGGGATCCTATAAGATAGAGGAGAATGGGCCACAGGGGTTGGAAGGCTGTAAATCTTTAGAGAAGCAAACTGCCATATCTTTCACCTCCCTGTGGAGGCCACAGTCTCCCTTTTCGCACCTTCCTGGAAGGGAGGAGATGAACATATGAAGGGTCATCAGTCAAGTGGCTCTAACCTTGAAGCAGAAGTGAATCACACAAATAAGCAGGGCTAGAGGAAAGTTTGTTCTGGCAGTAGTAGACTAGAGCAGTTACAAGTAGCTTCCAGAAATAGCCAGCCCAGCAGTGATGGAGATGCCTGCAGCCGTGACCCACTTCTGGTTACATGTTAGAGGATTCCTCACCATACTCACTAAAGCATGGCTTTGCCTTTGCTCTTAGCTACTTAGCCTTCTTAGCTACCTGGCCAGGACTAGCTTAGACACCAGGATAGACTGAGCCTGCATCATTCACTCTTAGCAGCCGAGAGAGACTGAAGGCAAAGATAAGGAAGTATGGACTCCAGGACAAAAATTGTGACCAGTTCATCATTTATCTTCAGCATCTAAAATAGTGGTACTTAGAAAGTGTTCACTAAATAGTTATTGTTGAGAGCAAGTGAAAAGTGAAAACCATGAGTTAGTGAGAGGATAGCCAGGGGACTCCAGCAACCTGGCCTTGTCAATGGGAACTCCATGCCACTGGGGCTTGCAGGAGGATGGGAAGACATCCCTGCACTGTTCTATATACGGCTTCAGAAGCCTCCTAGGACGCCAAAGCTCCAGTGTGAGTAACAGCTTGAGAGATTAATGTGTACTTGGTCCTGGGCTGTGAGCACCAGAGCCCCCTCAGATGCTGCCTATTGTCTTCTAGAAGTAGACAGCTGGTCAACTGGTATGTCTGATCACTTGATTTGCTTCAGGCTTGACGCCTACAACAGAGAAATAGGACACAGTATTCTGCCGTCTTTTCTCCAACTTCTCAACTTGCTATTTATTCCCCCACTGCCTTGGAAGCTGGAGAGAGCTAGAGAAGATGGATCTTACCTACATGACTCACTCTGTGCTCTCTGGGCCTGCCTGGTGATTACAGCTGGTGCTTTCTCTTGGGTCAACACTTACATAGGTTTGTCTGAGGGTTCTGTTATGCCCTTGACCCTGATAGATGCACTTCAACGCTGGCTGCTCATTTGCTGTCCTCTCCTCAGTCCCCGGACACTAGAGAGGACACATCTAAATGCTCTCTGCAGGGGTGCCTTGTGACAGTGTCTAACAATAGTGTCCATGAGAAACATTCGTGCATCACTTCGCCACGAGGCTCTGCTATGAAAGCAGTTATCCTAGCCTTCTCCTTACCCTCTGGATATCCCAGACAACAGCTCTCAGCTCATTTCTGCCTTTTTTCTCAGACCTGAGCCAGTCATCGTGTTTCAGGTCTCTCAATTGCAAAGACATGTTTGCAAACTCTCCACATTATCATCTTGAAATCTCCCTTAGCAGCCAGTGGCACAAGGCGTCACATCCCCACCCTTCTACCACAGTGGAAGCAGAGACTCAGCACACCACCACCCTTGTGCAAAGAAACCTCTCCCTCTTGTCTTCTCACCAATTTCTGTTCTCTCAAAACACATTCTTTAGCCTCAATTAAATTTGAGGCAGGAAGATGGCTACATAACAAATTACCCCAAAAGTCAGTGGTGTAAAACAACAACAAACATTCATTCATCTTTCACCGTTTCCTGGGTAAGGAATTTAGGAGTAGCTTAGCTGGGCAGTGGTGGCTCAGAAGCACTCATGAAGTTCACCAATGTGTCAGGAGGGGCTGGAGTTATTTGAAAATCTGATTTGAGGCTGGAGAATCATTTCTCAAGACTGTTCACTCACGCCTCTGACAAGTTAGCGTAGGCTGGTGGTGGGAGGCCTAAGTCCCCTTCTACACAGGATACTCCACAGGGCTAAGCTTCCCTCGCAACATGGTGGCTGACTTCACAAGAGTAACAAAGAGGGGTGGAAAGTAGCTCCTTTTATGATGTAGCCTCAGAAGTTAAGCACTGTCATCTCTGCCACACATTACGGGTCTCATTAACCAGCTCTAAACAAATATGGAAAGACACTCTAAAAAGGTATAAATACCAGCAGGTGAGGGTCACTGGGGTCATCTCAGAGGCTACCAATCAAATCTATTAACACTCCCATAACCACTATCTTCTAAATTCCTCCTGAGAGGCAAGAATGGTAAAACATCACCTTACATCTTTGAGCAGTTGGGGTCAATCCTTTAAAAAAGGTATCATAGGGAGCTCTGGTGGCTTGGTGACAAGAAGCTGCACTGCAATCCCAGACATACGCGGTTTAAATCCTCCAGATGATCTGCTGGAGAAGGAGGGACAATCTCCTCCTGTACCAGTCATATCCGATTTGATGGTACACAAATACACACACACAAACAAAAACAAAAAAATAAAAACACACATCACCATCATCATAAAGGAATCATGGTGGAAAAGGTAGAGGGTCGATGAAAAAGGGGCCGACCCTCAACCAGATAGACTTGACACGGTGACTACAGCAATGGGCCTGAGCGTGGTGGAGCTGATGAGGTCAGGCCAGGATGGGGCAGGGTTGTTCACTGGATCCTGGAGTTGCAGTTAACTCAATAACAACAAGATCCCCTTAAACAAACTGTACAAATTACAAACAAAGAGTAAACTATAAATTTAGACTGGCCTAACATGAACTTCTTGCAGGACCTTCTTTTTTTTTTTTTTTTTTTTGCGGGACCTTCTTAATCTCCACAATTAGACATCCCACATGGCATCTCCACTCCTGCTCCTCATCTATAATGAAGGCAGGCGAGGCTACACCCAAGGATCCCAACAGTCCTTTCAGTTCTCAGACCTCAGTTCTGTACAATTAGAAGAAATAAACCTTTGGAAATAGCTCTACAGGTTCTTACATTGAAACAGATTGAACAGATTTTACATTGAAAGGTACTACTGAATAAAAAACATTCTCAAAATGAAACATGAAAAGACATCATCTTGGTTTATTTATATTTAAACAGAATAATGACTTAGAAATTTAATACATTCAGGCATGGTAGATGTTTGACATGAAACACAGGTATATCAGAATGGGCATCAGAAAAATAGCAACTCATCTTACACATAATAACTAAAAATAGATCTCTCTCTGATCATGATGTATTATAAATCCTGAGAATGTTATCCACTAAACAGACGAGGCACTACCTTATTAAATCTTGTTTGAAAGTAATCCTTAAAAAAAATCTTCTGGGGTACAAATCACCTTGATATTATTAAACATGAGTTCTGTACATCCTACAAAGTATTTAAATATATCAAATAATTACAGTCCTATGACTCTTTAAGCAGTTACTAATCAGGTTCAATGACACACTGTTCCACAATTTCACGTAAGTTAGGGTTCTCCATTGCAGCTGCCACTCGTTCTTTGTCATTTATCTGCTTGTTAACTGCAAAACACACAAACAAAAGTTAGCAAAACTGTCAACACACAGGAACAGACAGTATTTCTACTATTCTGGTACATTTACTCTGCTATTTCACTCTTTCCAGAGGCATGTTGTTTAGGAAGTGGATGCCACTCCTGAGTCATATATATATTTGTTGCTGCTGTTGTTGTTATGTAACAAAGTTGGAACTGACCCACAGTTGACCCTCTGGAGGTTTTCAGAGGCAGTTAATTGTGTGGAAGGAGACTACCCATCCTTCTCCCACAGAGCAGCTGGTGGCCTTGAACGTGTGCCTTTCAGACTGCAGTGCTTCTTGCCACTATGTACACACATATATGTTTATATATGTATGTTTATGTTTTATACACATATATATGTATATATGCATACATACACAAATATATGTATGTGTGTATTTTGCAAACTGCACTCAAACAGAAATCAGAAGAGAAATGTTTATATTCTGTGTGTGTGTGTGTGTGTGTGTGTGTGTGTGTGTGTGTGTTGTGTGTACCGTCAAATCGGATCTGACTGGTACAGGAGAAAACTGCCCCTCCTTCTCCAGCAGAGCATCTGGTGGATTTACCATGTACCTCTGGGATTGCAGTGGTATTGCAGGTTCTTGCCACTAGGCCACCAGAGCTCCCCTGAGAAATGTCTATACTCTTAACACAGAGTGATTCTTCTGAGATTTCGGCTAAATGTCTTATGTAAAAAGCAAGTATCCCTAGCTAGACAATTTCAATTTATTTTGTTTCTTATTACTATGCAGGGTTCCCAGGAACAAAGATGTATCCCAAATGCTGAATTGTGCCCATACATAGAACGCATTCAATAAAGAATTCATAGTAAAAACAAAAAGAATCATTAGGCTTAATGCATACAATCACTATCAGAGCTGATCACCAGAATTTTAAAGATATCCTTGAAGAGGCACCTACATTTTTTCTTTCCTTTTATTGTGGTTTGAGTGAAACTTTACAAAATCATATTGGTTTTTCACTCATATCTATTTGTTTTATAACATTATAATTCAAGTAAGTAATCAAACATTATTGCATATTGGTTTTCTCTTCATCCAATTTAATTATCTATTATCTATTTATTCATTTTCAATCCCTACCTTCGGCTGAAAACCATCAAAGAATGATTTTGTGTGTCAATCTTTCCACAGTGTTTTATCATGGTCTTATACAGTATTTACCCTTTTTAAATTTTATTTTAATGAAAGTTTAAAGAGACTTTGGATTTCCATTCATTCACTGTTGCACTTTTCTCCCTGCCTGCCTCCCCCACCCCCCCCAAATTAGCTTTTCTTTTTGAAAAGTAAAAGAAAAAATTCTTTCATTGTTATTCAATCCCTCCGCCCAAGTCCACTCCACTATGCTACCTTCGTTCTGGACTCCTGTCATGACAGTAACACCTAATCATATATCCCTTTTAAACAGTCCTCTCCCTCCTCTGTTTCAATGCAGTATACATTATTTATACCCCCTCTCTCAGTTTCCCCCCCACCATTAGTTAGCCCTTTTTTATAACAGTGGCATTATGCCATATTTGTCTTTTTCTGACTGAGATATTTCACTCAGCATAATGTCTTCCAAAGTCACCCATTTTGTGAAATATTTCATGAGTTCCTTGTTTTTCAATGCAGCATATTAGGTTGTTTCCAATTCTTTGCTATTGTGAACAAAGCCGAAATAAACCTAGGTATGTCTGTATCTGTTTGAGTAGCAGTTCTGATTTCTTTATATTCCCAGTATGGTATTTCTATTTGCAACTTTTTGAGAAAGCGCCATACAGCCTTCCATAGTGGGCACACCATTTTACACTCCCACTAACAGTGAATAAGGGTTCGAGTTTCTCCACAATCTCGCCAGCATTTGTTGCTTGCTGTTCTGTTCAATTATGATATCTCATAGTTGTTTTGATTTGCATCTCTCTTAGAGCTAGGGATTTTGAACATTTCTTCATGTGCTTGTTGCCCATCTGAATGTCTTCTTTGACATTATGCTGAGTGAAATGTCCCAGTCACAAAGGGACAAATATTGCATGGTGCCACTGTTGTAGAATGGGACTGTCCTTGAGGTTGGGGAGAGACTGAGTAAGATGGGTTCAATAATGTATGTTCATTGACAACAAAGACAGGACGTGCACAGTGACCTATCTGCCCACCCTGCCTGGTGACTACAGCATCCTGGTCAAGTACAACGACAAGCACATCCCAGGCAGTCCCTTCACGGCCAAGATCACAGACGACAGCAGGCGCTGCTCGCAGGTGAAGCTGGGCTCTGCGGCTGACTTCCTCCTCGACATCAGTGAGACTGACCTCAGCACCCTCACGGCCAGCATCAAGGCCCCGTCCGGCCGCGATGAGCCCTGTCTGCTCAAGAGGCTGCCCAACAACCACATTGGTGAGTCTGCTGGGCTGGAGGGCAGGAGGGGGGGACTGTGTCGCTCAGCGGGGGTGTGGCGTGGAGGACCTGCTGGTCACAGGCATGGTGGAAGTCCAGGCGCATTTCTGCACCATAATGGTGACTGGAATCTTAGAGGCCCCTTCCTATGCGTGCCCACTTCCCCACTTCTAAACCTGCAATCCCTGCTCTGGTCTAGGCATCTCCTTCATTCCCCGGGAGGTGGGCGAACACCTGGTCAGCATCAAGAAGAACGGCAACCACGTGGCCAACAGCCCTGTGTCTATCATGGTCGTCCAGTCCGAGATCAGGGACGCGCGGAGAGCCAAGGTCTATGGCCGTGGCCTGTCAGAAGGCCGGACTTTCGAGATGTCTGACTCCATCGTGGACACGAGGGATGCAGGTTACGGCGGCATATCCTTGGCAGTGGAAGGCCCCAGCAAAGTGGACATCCAGACAGAGGACTTGGAGGATGGCACCTGTAAGGTCTCCTACTTCCCCACCGTGCCTGGGGTCTACATCGTCTCCACCAAGTTCGCCGATGAGCACGTGCCAGGGAGCCCATTCACCGTAAAGATCAGTGGGGAAGGCAGGGTCAAGGAGAGCATCACCCGGACCAGTCGAGCCCCGTCCGTGGCCACTGTTGGGAGCATCTGTGACCTGAATCTTAAAATCCCAGAAATCGACAGCAGTGACATGTCAGCCCACGTCACTAGTCCCTCAGGCCGTGTGACTGAGGCAGAGATTGTGCCCGTGGGAAAGAACTCGCACTGTGTCCGGTTTGCTCAGGAGATGGGCGTCCACACCGTCAGCATCAAGTACCGTGGGCAGCACGTCACAGGCAGCCCCTTCCAGTTCACTGTGGGGCCACTTGGAGAAGGGGGTGCCCACAAGGTCCGTGCAGGAGGCCCTGGCCTGGAGAGGGGAGAAGCAGGAGTGCCGGCCGAGTTCAGCATTTGGACCCGGGAAGCAGGTGCAGGAGGTCTCTCCATCGCTGTTGAGGGTCCCAGCAAGGCTGAGATTACATTCGATGACCATAAAAACGGATCATGTGGTGTGTCTTATATTGCCCAAGAGCCTGGTAACTACGAGGTATCCATCAAGTTCAACGACGAGCACATCCCCAAGAGCCCCTACCTGGTGCCCGTCATCGCGCCTTCTGACGATGCCCGCCGCCTCACTGTTATGAGCCTTCAGGAATCGGGATTAAAAGTTAACCAGCCAGCATCCTTTGCTATAAGGTTGAATGGGGCAAAAGGCAAGATTGATGCCAAGGTGCACAGCCCCTCCGGAGCCGTGGAGGAATGCCATGTGTCCGAACTGGAGCCAGATAAGTATGCTGTTCGCTTCATCCCGCACGAGAACGGGGTCCACACAATCGATGTCAAGTTCAATGGGAGCCACGTGGTTGGAAGTCCCTTCAAAGTGCGAGTCGGGGAGCCTGGACAAGCGGGGAACCCCGCCCTGGTGTCCGCCTACGGCGCAGGGCTGGAGGGCGGCACCACAGGCATCCAGTCCGAATTTTTCATCAACGCCACCCGAGCGGGCCCAGGGACCTTGTCTGTCACCATTGAGGGCCCATCCAAAGTTAAAATGGAT